GTAGTTGCTTCACCTTGTCCTCTCTGACCTTACATCAAAGCCACAGACTGGTTGAAGTTTCCAGATACTTCAAGCACCTTCATGTGCCTTTGCTCATATTATCCAGATGCCTAGTCACCTTTCCTGTCTCTCTGTTTTTATAGTTCATTCTTCAAGAAAACTCAACTTGTGTCAGTTATTTCTGAGCCTACTCGGCCTTCCTTTTGTAGGCAGAATCTATTGCTCTTTTCTATGATCTAAATGCATTTTAACCTTACCCAGAGCATGGCCATGTCTACTTCATGTCACATAAGTGGAGCACTGTTTGATTCTCCAACTAGACAGTGAGCTGTTGAGAACAGAACCTGGGGTCTTGCTTCTTTCAAAGTCTCCCAAGCACAGCCCCTCCCACAGACCCTCCCACACAGTAGGTGCTTAGTAAATACTTGCTTTGTTTTATCACAGAAGGAAAGTCCTTTACAGCAAATCTTTGATAAATACCAATTCAATCAAACAGGTATATTCAGAATTTTTCTGTACTGGTGGATATACATCATTGTGTCCAGTGTAGTCTACTTACTGACTTTTGTTAATTTGATCTGTTTTTATCCCTTTACCTAGGGCTCCCCATTTAACCTAGGAACGCTTTTTTTTTTTTTTGGTGGTGTTGGAGTAAATGAGAGCCTGTATCTGGATTCTGGGAGATTGTATGCTCTCTTCTCATTTTCATAGGAGGCATATTTGTCATGGTATCATTTAGAGATCAGTTACTTCCAAAGAGTCATTTATATGAGAATGTTAATATTAAGTTAGTATTGAGTGAACAGGATGCGCTTTGAGAAATGGAGTCTGTAGAAATGAAGGATGCAGCCACTTCTGGGCTAGTTTGTGTAAGGGTAGCATCAGCCAGATTGCCATCAGCATAACCCACTCACCAAATCATACTGTCAGATCATTTAGTGTGTCATTTAGATCTAATTAATGAGCAACCTTTAGATCCATGTCACAGCACAGTAGGAGGCCTTGGTGCTTGTCAATAGGAAGTCTTTTATAAGGGTTAGAAACAACAATGTATGCAGAAGAATTTTATTAAAAAATTAAAAATTTTAAATGGTATCCTTAATAAGGAACACCTCTGTATGCTTGAGCTTGAGCTAGAATTCTCAACTTGAAACAGGAAACAGACATTCGAACAGAGAAGTAAGGTATCACATAAGACATGACCTATCTATATCCAGGGCACAGTGGAAGCATGAAATGAGGGAAGGCGTCACATACATAGAGGCAGAAAGACTTTGTAGAAGAGGTGTGTGTACCTGTTGGTGTGTTGGGAGGGCCGATAGAGAGAGAAGGAAGGCCTTTCCAAAGAAGGATAGTTCTAGCAACTTTGGGAAACTGCCTGAACTGTCCTATGACTGAAAGTCTTCTAAGAAAAATCACCTTATGTAAGTGAACTTTGAAGAGTTTTAGGAATTAACCAGCTGTCTCCTTTTTCTCAGCTCTTTATAAATGTACAACCTGAGACTCGGAGAGGTTTAGTAATTCATCCAAAGTCACAAAGCAAACTTGCTAGCATGTCTGCCCCTCACTGAAATGGCCTATATTTATTGAATGTTTATCTTATGCTAGTATTGTGACATACATTTTGTCATTTAATCTTTACATCAACCTAGTGCAGTGAAAGGGAGATACCATTTATAGATGAGGAAACTGAGGCCCACAGCAAGAAATACAGTCAGGATTTGGACTTAGACATTCTGACACCAGAATCTGTCTTAATCCCAACTGTTCCAACTGCTCCTGCTGCTGTTTATTATTAAACACTAGCAGCGACCTTATGAACAAGATATTTTTTAGAGATTCATAGCAGCTAGATTTAGAGCCGGGATTTTTACCCCTAATAAGCCCAAACTAGTTTATTTTAATGCACTATGATACTTTCCATGAAGAATAAGACCCCATAGCTTTTCTTCTTGTGGTTCATTTGGATTAAGAAATGAAAATAAAAACAACTTAAGATTTAGCAGTTCTGAGTTCTTACAGTAGTTGCCACACTAGCCATATTCCCAGTTAGTTACCACTTTATATAAACAGCTTCAGGAGCGACTGAGCAGTGACTCACAGGAACACCGCTTTTAGGTCACAGAAAATAACTCTGTCAGCAATGAGGGCAGAGCTTCAACTTTACTCTCAGCCGAGCTTTTGACTTCCCTTCGGCTGTGCCAGAATTAGAAAACTCTTCAAGGGTGCTGTGGATTACTCTTTCGAGTTGGAAGCTGATTTAGATTGAGCCTCTGCTGCCCGTATTCGTCTTCCTTAAAAGATAGCAAAGATTTTGAGGCCCCCCCAAAAAAATTTCACATTTTTAGCAGCATACATAACAGGGAACCCTTTTCTTGGATTTGATGAACCTTTTATGTTCATCCTATTTTTCACTTTCTGTTGTTTAAATTCACCCACACTTTTCCTTCCAGAAATCACCTAGGTATGGACTCAGCAAGCCCTTTCCTTTGATGGCTTTTCTGATGGCATTTCACCTGTTAATACTTAGAATGTTTCCTAGTTATTTTTTTATAGTAATGAAAATATTTTTAACAAAATTTTTTAGTTGAAAGGGCAAATTAGAGCAGTACCTGGATTGGCAAAATTGGTGAGCATTGCTTACCTAGTTCAGCCATAACTTAGGGTCTCCTGAGGGAAAGTGAACTGGAAAATATTATAGTGCTATTTTTCATAATAGTAATACCTTGACAAGTTATTAAAAAAAAAGTTTTACAAAGCATTGGGTTTTTTTTGTTTTTTGTTTTTTGTTTTTTGTTTTTCATTTTTTTTTTTGTATTTGTAATGACCAAAGCAAAACATTTAAAATCGCAGCTTCTGGAAGAACCATTTGTTCTTGCCAGTCTTGTACCTCTCCTTGAATTTAACCTTGGCCTCTCGTCGGGCCTTGCGTTTAAGAGCAGGATCTCTGAAGACATCCTTGTTGACAACAGTTTTGTCCAAGGGGATATCCACAGAGTACCTGGTGGGCATGAGATGATTGTAGTTATACACTTTCACAAAAGACTTGATCTTTGACCTTTTGGCAATTTTCTTCTTGCCCATGGCAGCTGTCACTTTGCGGGGATAGCGATCAATTCCAGCCACCAGAGCATGGCTGTAAGGGCGGTCTGCGGTGCCATCATCAATGTTCTTCACAATGACCGCTTTGCGTCCGGAGTAGCATCCGGCCAAGACCAGCACCACCTTCCCGGGTTTCGTGAACTTGCCCATTTCAGCAGCAACCACTCGGGCCTACAGCCTGTTTTTTGTTTTTTTACAAAAAGCAGCATACCTTTTCTGCTCCCTTTTTCCAGAAGTAACACTTTGAAGTTTCTTGTGGCTTTTTCTTTGGTTTTTTACATCTAATCTTGAAACAGTATGCTTACATCGTTCTTGCTTGGTTTTCCAGTTTTGGGTGTTTTCTCTTTAATTTCCAGTTTGGAAGATTAGAATTGTCTGCTTTCTTCCTATCTTCCCATTCCTCCACATTCTTTTCCTATCTCATTTTATCAGTATGTTTATAGCATAATTTTTGTTAGATCACTATTCACTGTTTTCATTTTATGCCCTTGCACAAAGCTGAGACATGTAGAATAATATGATAATAATAGGAGACATGTAGAGTCATATGATAATGTGATTCTAGTATGTGGACTCCTTGAAGAGTCCTTGTGCAACCTTTTGATTTCCATCTCCTATTTCTTTTTCTGCTTTTTAGGGGAGATTTGCCCCAACACTATCATTTGTGCTTTTATTGATTTTGTAATTTTATATTTTGCTTACATTCATATTTAATGTGTATTTTAATTTCTAAGAATGTTCCTGTTACTGTTTTATTGCATGGATAAAGTATCTTAGACACCTAAAAATATTATTGATAGTTATTTTTGTCTCCTGGAACTGCTTCATATCATTCCATTTTTGTTGGTTTTTTTCATAATCTGGTGTTAGTGGCTGATCTTTCCACTTAGGTGGAAAACAATGCTTCTGTGGGGAGGTTGGGTGGAGCTAATTGCTTCTAATGGCTTCAATCTAGGATGGACAGCCTGGGATCATTGCATTGATGCTTCCAGCTCAGGACCCTTGAGGTCTCTTTTCTTGGGTTGATTGTGTTACCTGGGCAAGCATATTCTAGTCCCCTGCCCAGAGGCTACACACCTGGTTGCCAGTTCTCTACAAAGATGAGTAGGAGAAGTGGGCTGGCTCTCACTTTCACTATGTGGATTGGCCCTAATGCCCTTTGTTTACTATGGAATGCCACCCTCACCCAAGCCAGGTATCTTCCCTTTTCTCTTAAAAAAAAAGTCTGTTTGATAGCTAATATCATCTGCTTTTCAACAAAACAAGTATTTTCTGAAAGTTTCCATTCTTTGTTTGTTTCAAAATACTGTTGGTCACCTGAGCCAAAAGATGTGCATTGTATCTACTTATGAAAACCACTGCCATGCTCTGCTACTGGTTTCCAAGATAGTCTATTCATTTATGTGCACATTTCTTCTACTGCTTAAAAATATAGTTTACACAGCTTTATGCTCACTGTCTCTGGGAGATACACAGGTCAACAAATCTGGATCCTGCTCTCATGGAGCAGAGGAGAGATTGCTATTAAGATGCTGTTTCACAAAAAACCCAATGGGAGGGTGACTTCACCTAATTAGATAGTAAAGATGGGAAAGTAAAGATGGACCCATAGTCAGAGAGATTGCAACAATTTGTAAGAAAGAATAAAGTTTTGAGGGAAAATAATTAGTGATAAAGTGAGAGAAGGTAGATTTCTTAAGAAGAGAAGGATCAGTAGGGGCGAATTCAGCTAGTGAAGCAATCTGGTTGACACCATGTTAGAGGAATTCTGGTGTCTTAAATTGGTATTTTTCCAGTCTTACTCTCTGTTTCTGAAAGTAATACCTTTAAAAATTCATTTAAAAACAGGGATGATAATGTTTAAGAAAGATTAATTCAGAGGTCTGATAATCTTTCAGCTTCCAGAGCTAAACTCAGCATGATCAACACCATGTCCAAAATCCGTGGCCAGGAGAAAGGGCCTGGCTACCCTCAGGCAGAAGCACTGCTCGCAGAGGCCATGCTCAAGTTTGGAAGAGAGCTTGGAGATGACTGCAACTTTGGTAATGACTGCTTTCTCACATTTTCACTCTTTCATTTGTCCATGGGGATTTTAATGTCAGGTAGAAGCTCTATAGGAAATTATTCAAATCATTTCATATTTTGGTTCTCAATTTCAGCTCTTGTGTACATAAGCCAAAATTTGCTTGTAGGGAAATTCATTATTTTTATTTATTTAATTTTTTAAGATTTATTTATTTATGCATACAATAGCAGGGGTACAGGCCAAAGATGCAGGGGGTGAGAGGATCCACCAGAGACAGAGTGGGGAACAGAACAGACAGACTGAAACAGTGCTGAGGGAGTAGCGGGCGAGATATGAGAGGTCTGCTGCACCATGTGGGCTGCTCCCTGGACGGCCGGGGATTGAACTCGTGCTGCAGAGGCTTTGGATCGCTTCATAGTGCGGTGCTTAACCCTGCGCGCCACCAGAGAGGCCCAAAATTCCTTATTTTTAATGTGATTTGTCCTAGGGATATTCTTTGTTCTCTGATGAGATCCAAATCTTTATAAGCTGGTTGACATATCCACTTACTATGGAGTGTGTCTGGCTATAACTGAGTCTTGGGGCAAAGAAAACAGTCACAATCAGTGTGATTCAACACCCTGACCCATGAATGTTCCCTTAGATTTCTGCTCTTTTGTGTATGGAACATAATTCTACTGCCTCAGGTGAGACGTGGTGTATTCCTTCACTGCCCTCTCTTCTCACATTCTAAACACCTTCTGTTTTACTCCCTGGTAATGTGAGGTCTCAGCAAATAACCATCCTTCTTGGTTGAACCTGGCTCTCTGTTCCTGGTATTTCCTTTTGCTAAATGCATTGTCCTTAAATGAGGCCTCTATTAGAGCAACAATAGAATGGGGAAGGCTAGGGAGCTTCCCAAATTGCTTTTTAATGGAAAAGCAAATTTTTATGTTTTTTTATAAAGTGAGAGATACCATCATCCTCTTGGAGAATGATGTGAAAACTCTACAGTGAAAACTGTAATGTTTTCTGGAAAGTATATTATGTTTTCTCTTGTCTCAGTTGTCTGCAGAATACAGGTAGTAAGCCCACGGTATTAGATTGTGATTTCATTCTTCATTTTCCCCTTCCAGGCCCAGCACTTGGTGATGTGGGAGAGGCCATGCGGGAACTCTCAGAGGTGAAAGACTCTTTGGACATGGAAGTAAAGCAGAACTTCATTGACCCCCTTCAGAATCTTCATGACAAAGATCTGAGGGAAATTCAGGTACCTACAACTAGTGTTTTGGGAAGGGGGCACTTTAACTCATGCAGATGCAAGTGTCCTTTTCAATAGGAAAACATTTTTAAGCTTTCTGTGCATATTGTCGCCACTGAGCATGTGAATTGCAAGACATTCCAGTAAAATCAATTGATGGAAACCAGAAATTCAGTAATTTTTGCTTCACTCTTTTGACGGTATTACATTTGTAATGTATATTACATTTTACTTCTCCACATTTGATTTTCACTTAAAGTTTTTTTTGAAGCTCTCTCCTGAATACTATACTTTCCCTGATAATACAAAATTAAATTATTCTATGGGTTTCTGGACTGACTTTACCGCCTAAGATTCTAACTGTACCAGTTGTGAGCTTAATCTGATTTCACCTCTATATAGGTATGTAATGTTTGTTCATTCATTCTTTCAACAAATACTTGCTAAACCTGTCTGAAATTTAACTCTGTTGACTGTAAAACGGACTGCCATAATTAAACTCTCCTAGATCCCCTTATTCTAACTTTAATCTTCCTCAACCTTACCACTTTCTCAAGATCCAACAGTTAAAAAGTGGTAGACTTACTCTAAATCTAAAGTGTAACTCTGACTCCAGTGCTATGTACCCTGCCACTAACTCCAAGTTCAGTGCTTTATTCCTTCAAAGGAATAAATGTTTAGTTTGGATGAAGGCATGAAATAGAGGCAGAGCATGTACTTGGAAGGAAGGCCTTGAGTATTCTTTCACCTTTCCTTTTTACTTCTTTTTCTTTTTTATTATTAGCTAATTAAATTTTAATTGAGGTGATATTAAGATGCCCCAATTAGGTATTGCCAACATAGTGCACCCACCTCCGAATTACCCATAGTCCACCACCGTAGTCCACTGTGCTTCCTTCCCTCCTGGTTCTTACCCTCTCCCACTCCCTTTCCCCTCTGGATGCTTCAGTTCTATAGTCTACTTTCAAGGGTTAGTTTTTTTTTTTTTACAAGGGTTAATTTTTTAGCCTTGTTTTAATCTGACCCTTTGTTGGGTTCCTTTGTATGCCACGTATTAGTGACACCATCTGGTATTTGTCTTTCTCCTTCTGACCTGTTTCACTTTGCATTATACCTTCTAGCTCCATCCATGTTGCTCAAATGGCATGAGTTTATCTTTTCACCGAATGACGTTCTACTATGTATATATACCACATCTTCTTGATTCATTCTTTTGTTTTGGGTCATTTGAGTTGTTTCCATAATTTGGCTTTTATAGATAGCACTACAAAAAAACATGGAAGTGCAAGTTTCCTTTCAAAAGTGTTTTTGAAATTCTCAGGTGAATGCCAGGGAGTTGGGTTACTGGATTGTATAGAGACATTTATGGATCTCAATTTAATGTCTTTCTCATTTTTTCACATTCCAGCCCTGTTTTCATCTCCTTCCCTTTCATTCCTTACATATCCAGAATCAAGGAAAATCCAGCATTTTCTCCAGTCCATAGTAGTGAAGCACCACAGTTCTAAAGAAGAAAACGTTTTGTAGCTTTGAGAAGCTATTTTTCCATTTGTCCCTGGAAGTGTTGGGCAGAGACTGGACAGCCATGTATTAGGGGTGATGCAAGGAGGGATTCAAGCATGGTGTGGGGCATTAGATCCTTTCTAAGGATCCTTCCCAGCTAGGTTATGTGATTGAATTTCATTATCTGTCAAATGGGAAAGTCAAGCTAATCGATAGTTCCCCCAAATCTGCATCTGTCAGCTAGCTTAAGTGTTAAGATATTGATTCCTGGGCTTCCACCCTAGGTATTCTTGTTCATATTTTTAATAGGCAACTTAGTTCTTTTTTTTTTTTTTTTTGAGATTTATTTATGCATACAAGAGCTGGGGTATAGGCCAGAGGTGAGCGGGGCGGTGTGGGGAACAGGCAGACTGACTGAAACACACTGCTGAGGGGAGCAGTGGGCAAGTCAGGAGAGGTCTGCTGCACCATGTGCTCCCTGGCCATTTGGGAATCGAACTTGTGCTGCAGAGGCTGTGGATTGCTTCATAGTACAGTGCTTAACCCCTTGCGCCACCAGGGAGGTCCCAACTTAGTTATTTCTAACAGATTGGATTACTTCAAAAATAAGTTTTTTCCAGCACTAACATATTGTGGCTCTAAAGCAAGAATATCATTATTTCTCACTTTATTTCAAGGAAAGAGTTTTTCCTCTACCTTCTAACAAGACTCTATTTCTCTGGAAATGGGGACATTGGGCTCTACATGCCTGTGCTCTCCACATGTGTGGGGCATGGACACACATTCCCAGATTTTGTCATGGAAAGGAAAGGCATATTCCAGCCTGACTTTGGTTCGGCAAGAGCAGAATATAAAGGGCACTGGTAGTTCTCACAGTTTCCTCCTTGCTCTTAATTCATTTCAGGATGATGCAGTCATCTTTATTTTTCTGGTGATGAGATATTTTACAATTTAGCCTGTCTTATTTTAGAAGCAAATAGGCATGATGGGTTGTAAATAGGTCTTTTCCATTAAGCCCTTTCAAAGCATATTCCTACACTTCACTTTTTCAGCATCATCTAAAGAAGTTGGAGGGTCGACGCCTGGACTTTGATTATAAGAAGAAACGACAAGGCAAGATTCCAGATGAAGAACTTCGTCAAGCTCTGGAGAAATTTGATGAGTCTAAAGAAATTGCTGAGTCAAGCATGTTCAATCTCTTGGAGATGGATGTGAGTAACTATCCTGTGGTTTTAAATTTAATTTTGCTATTAAATCACAAGATTATTGCGTTAAAGTGTTACATGATTAAAAACATCATAATATCTGCTACACACTATCTTGAGAACATCAGAAGATTCTTTTTTTTAAAAAAATTGAAATTATAAAGAACATAGAGGAATGGTAAATTTTTTTCTTTATTCCCACAGTTGATTTAACTAGATTGTCTGCTACTAATGATCTAAATAGTAGCAATATCTATGTTGCTTATTACCAATAGTAGAAAGATAAAGGATGTTTCTGATGAACCATGTATATAAGTCCAGTAGCTTAAAAAAAATTACCCTGTTGAAATACAGTGCAGATGGACTACAAATTATAAAAGAACATCAACTATAATGCATTCTGAATTGAGTGTCCAACATAGTTTAAGCTATTCTATATTTTGAAGCAAAGTTGACATTTTCTTTCAGAAAGTCATTTCAGTTGAGATGGATGATTGTGGCATAGATTCTATATTTGGAGCATAGATGAGGTGGTTTAAAAACTAAGGTCACATTTCCAGAGTACTAAATTATTATTCATGGCTTTCGAAGGTCTGTTACCCTCGAAGCTATAAGGACATTCCTTCCTTCCCAGTACTCATGTAACAAAACCTGTTAACCAACTTTGCTGTCCTTGCTCATCCCCACACCAGCCTCATTATTTGTTTGCCAACTTTGCCAAGATGTTTATGGTGCCTTGATGTACTATTACTTAACCACTGTGGCCTGACTGGTGACTGGCAAGGGAGGCATGTTGAACATATTGAACTTTCCCACCATCCAGATACCATGTAGGGTTGTGTGTATGGGAAATAACTTGTCCATCTACTCAACAGGAATATTGAAGTCATGAGGAGTAACCTCAATCACCACACTCGTACCCTCACCCAGTGCCCCACCCTACCCCAAAACTCATGGGCAGTATTGGCTCTGTTGACATTAAGGCCTCTGTTCAACTAGATCACAACAGGAGACTCAAATTGAAGAATAACCAAAGATGCCTAGAGTTGGCGTGAACCCAGGATGTCACTTGAGGCAATACCTTTATGTTATAGATGCGAATCAGACAGGACAAGGTTTTCCATCACACCCCACTATTCCCCACAGTACTCATATGAGAAATCAATATTCACATTTTTGTTAACAGCACTAATATTGACTTAGCTTAAAAAGTATAGGGAGCTTGAGGTCATCTGTAGACAGCACAATTCACAAAAATGAGAACAGAAAACACATCTATAAAAGAATTTGGGGTCTCATTTATGAAAACATACAACACACTCGAGACTGAATTGTGTATAAATTCTGTGTTTCATTAGGTTTGATTAGAGTAGCTGAGAAAGGAACCAAAACAAGTTCATCTTATGAAACTGCTCAAAACACAAAGGGGGAGAATCCCTTTGGTGACTTGCTTCCAAGGAAGCAGTGTGCTTCACCTCATTTATTTACCTAAACCCCACAAGACATTATGGGTGAGTCATTTTATTGTAAGTATTAGGAAAAGAGATCCCTGTTACCCACTGTAAAAAGCAACACGCGCGCGCGCACACACACGTCAGTGACTAGTTTCCAGGCTCTTAGCAAAAAAATGAAAATACCAGGTTTCTCCCTCGATGTTTTAGTTATTATAGTCCTCTGTTGTAAGGTTAAAACAATTTACTATGCTATAACTTGAGTTTTTCTTGCATAGTTATTACTAGGTTTTGTTAGTATTCAAAATAACAGGAGACATACTATTGTAAAGATGCCAGTTCTTCCCCAAATTAATAAATTACTTGATCAATAAAAGCTCATTTGCATTTTCAAAATAAAAAGTATAGGGAGCAAAGCTTGGTGAATATATCCTTTTCCTATAGGAAATCAATAAAATAAGCCAAATCCTAACATCAGAAAGTTGTAGCTAAGCATGAGACTGTTTAATGGGTGTCATGTGATCTTCACAGGATTCTGACTTATGTTGCTTCTCCTCTTGGAAAGCATTTCCAAACACAAGGGTGATTTCTTATCTTTATTTGATTTGGAACCTGCAAAACCATCTTACCTGTCTTAGCTGGGCTCAGCACACAGTCATTGGCATCACCAAGCAGTGGGTTGTGTCAGGGGCAGCCCTATCTTAGGTGCCAGGCAGTAGTAGTTGCTTAAGGACAGTAATGGGTAACTAAGGTGTGATTCCCCATTTCTGCAGATTGAACAGGTGAGCCAGCTCTCTGCGCTCGTGCAGGCCCAGCTGGAGTACCACAAGCAGGCGGTCCAGATCCTGCAGCAAGTCACCGTCAGACTGGAAGAAAGGTATTTTACAATTCCACTGTATTTTACTTTTTTTTTTTTTTTGCCATGATATGAGGTGTAAGGAAGTGGAAATAATAGAAAGAATATATTTCTGCCTAAATTCCTGTTGATCCTGTACAGATAGCTAGTGGGCCATTTGTTTTTATTTTGTCCTGTGCTTTGCTTACCTTTGATCCATTGATTCTAACCCTGTGTTTATGAGAGGTGATACTTGGATTATATCTTGACTACCACCGATGGAACACCAAGGTGCTACCAATGATGATGTAATTTCTTTTTTTAAAAAAATATTTGTTTGTTTATGCATACAAGAGCTGGCGTACAGGCCAGAGATGCACGGGGAGAGGATTCACCAGAGACAGAGCGGGGAACAGAACAGGCAGACTGACCGAAGTACACTGCTGAGGGTAGCATCGGGCAAGTCGGGAGAGGTCTGCTGCGCCATGTGGGTTGCTCCCTGGCCCGCTGGGGACCGAACTCGTGCTGCAGAGGCTGTGGATTGCTTCAGTGCTTAACTCCTTGCGCCACTGTGTGGATGCTGAAGGATATAATCATCAATCTTATACCAGTCCTGTAAATGAAGTAATATTAAACCAAGTGGCTAATAACAGATGAGGCACTGAAGCTCAGGGGTATGAAATAACTAGCCCAGGGTCACACAGTGCTGCAATTGGGGTTCATGAACAGGTGTAACCTATTTGAAAGACTGTCTTTTGTCATTTTGCGTTTGTCTTGGTGGTGATACAAATCCTCCACCATAAGAGAAAGCTACCTTTGTATCCCTGTTCCATGTCCTCAGATGTGCCCCATTGGACTGTGGTAATTTATTTGGAGAATGAGTATCTCTGGAGTTGGGGCACACAGTGTGCACGCTGTATGCAGTGGTACTGCATTATGGTACTTTACTTAGATTAAGCAGGATGTTTCTGCTAACCATGTGCATATCAAGGATCACCTCAGCAACCTTAACTCTCAGCTCTTTACTAGACTAATCTCTAATAGCTGATAAGCAAACAGTGTCCTCAAGTCATTATGCTGCACTGTGGGAAAGCTCCTCATCTGTTTCCATCTGGCCAGACACTCCCTTTCCTCACTGTCTTCTTGAACTATGCATCTTCTTTCAGTGAACCCTCGTGTGAATATGTCTAACATTCTGAAGCCTCTAAGACTTTTACAATCATACGTACACTAGAACATACTAAATAAATGTGTCTTTATGAATTCTGAGCATTAAGGACCACTTTGCTTATTTTCCCCCAGAAATATGTTCAAAATCAGTATCATTCTGCTAACAACTGTATTCTTAATTCTCCCTACTCACTCTTGCAAATCTGTTGTCTGCCTTACTTAGCGAACACCTGAAACTGGAAAATACTTAGGGGTGTGCAGACTACATTTACTGACCCAGCTATCTACTTTCCTCCTGCCTGCATTCACTTTTTCCTTCCTAGATCCCACAGGGCTCAATATTCTTGGAGGAGGCAGAGTTTCCTCCTTTCCTCATACCAGTCCTCCTCAGGCTCTAGGTGGACTAGCTGTCTTCTGGAAACAACTACTGATCCATCTGGGTGTGACTCTTACCTATGTTTTGCCTCCTCCCTTACCTTCTCCAACTTTCCCATAGACAGAGGATCTCCTTCCCACCCTCACCCTGTGCATCCCTGTAGTACTTTTTCCATGTCTCTGTAACAGCATTTTTGACCCTTTTTATTTATGTTCGCTGTCCCCAACAGACCAAAGTGCACAAGGGCACAAATAGTATCTTATTAATCTTTATGTTCCTGGCATCTAGCACAGTGCATATTTGCAAAGTAAGCTCTGAATGAATGAGGTAAGAAGTAAGGGATTGAGAGAAAGGATGAAGACAGTGAGGTTATGACCATAAAAGGACATCACTAAAAGCAGAGCCAGATACATGTATGAAAACTAAAGGTCATTTTCAGACTTCCTCTCTTCCCCAGTAATAGATTGGTGTGTGACTCAGGCATTTCCTGGGTTTTATTTATTTATTTATTTTTGCCTGTCTCATTTGGCTACATGCTCTCCCTTCCCCCTTTCTCTGTCAATGCAGAATAAGACAAGCGTCATCTCAACCTAGAAGGGAATATCAGCCCAAACCACGAATGAGCCTGGAGTTTCCAACTGGAGACAGTACCCAGCCCAATGGGGGCCTCTCTCACACAGGTACCCCCAAACCTGCAGGTAAGGAGCTGAGACCTACAGAACCCAGTACATGGGTCTTGGGCACATCTTTTTAACACTTCCAAAAATTTTAGGAGCAATCCATTCTTGCTGCATAAGAAGTATACATACTGTAATATATGTCTTACAAAATTCTTCTGCCAGCTAGAAGCTCTTTACAGTAATCCTCCTTTTTTCACCCATTATATCTTCCCCCCTCCCCCATTTCTGTTTTCTCTGTAATACAATTTCATATCTGCTTTTCTCTCACTCTCCATCACCAGCACACACTAATGTCCTAACTAATACTTGATTTTGACTGTCAACTTAACATGTCAAGCATGCATGAGAGTGAATGCCCGTGGCTAGTGATGCACACATGCTCTCACATACAACCCACATGCAGCAGCTTCGGGAGTGTGTAGGGTGGGTTTCCTGAGTCAAAGAGCATAGGAGTAAATATATTTGCAGATGAATCCTGCCTCCCTTCCCTTCCCCACTCTAACCAGTTCATCTGTCCTGGTTGATACAATAAAAGCTAAAATTCATTTTGCATCAGGAATGTGGATATATACCCAACAATGTATTCTTTCACCATCACTCTCCCCACCCCTACACATGAAGAATAGATAAAACCTGTGCTTGAGACATTTCCACCTTGACATTTGCTGCATTGAAAAAGTGGAAACTATCTTATGCTGGGTATGGATTTCAAAGACCTGCAATTTTCTTCTGTTTTTCCTGTATCCCCACTGCTTATGTTCTATAGGAATTTATAAGGAGCGCAGAGGGTTTTGTGATGACAGCAGGGACCCTCTGCCCTCTGAGCTCACTGAGCTGCTCAGAGCCCCAGCATGCCAAATAGACAGCTCAACTCTTAGCAGTTAACTGGTTCTAAGGACCATTCATATAAGTTAAGTGTAACTTGCTTCTCCCTGCTGAGAAACCAACCACATATTTCACTTTGATAGACTTATTAATTTGCTGCTTTATCTAAGTAAAAATAAATTACATAGTTTCCTTCAAAACTATCTAGATGGCATGGAAGCTTTGTGCACTTGTCTGAGTTTATATGCCTGTTTGTATATGCACTCTATTAATATATTTGGCTATTTTAAGTAGATCCATTTTGAAGATACATTTCCATTCTTCATTATTTTACTCATAGTGCATTATTTTCCATATATCTTAGCTCTAGTGCACTCCTCATATTTACATATGCAACATTACATTACATATTACCACACACTTAACATTATGCATATTTCCTATACAAATTGAAAATTATTTAATTTTTTACATAATCTCATTGAATCACCAAAATACTACCATTTAGGAGCAATTTTAGACAAAGAAACTGAGTGAAATAAATTGTGCAAGGTCACACAGTGTAAGAACTTGCACTCAATGTTTACATTGTTTTGTTTTCACAACATTATAGCAGTTTTCTGGGCGCCAGAATCATTATTTTTGAAACAAATAAGAAATGGCATTGTTACTTTGAGGTTACAAAGCATTGTCCGTGAAGTCTACTGTTTCACATGTGAAGAGCTCTTAAAGTGCTAGAAGGAAAGGAATTCTGGCTGTGTTGTGCTGTTAACCTAAATCTCATTATAAACTCCTAAGTCATTCAGTCTCCCATCTCTGGGCATTGTCAGGAAGGCAAACCTTGATGAACTGTGTTGTCCATATCACAAAAATAGACGTGTTCATTTTTCTTACTGGAAATGGAAACAGGAACCCAACAACTTCCAGAAATCTGAGAAAGCTTCTGAAAACTGATAGAGGGCAGCAGAGCCTGGGGATGGGACGAGTAGAAGCAGGCAACTTGGGCAAGAAGAGAAGCGAGGGAGGGACAAAGGGCACAGCGGCCAGGCGATGCTGCAGGCTGTGGCTATGTGTTAAATCCTCCGTCTCTCTGTGTTCTTCTCTCCTGCTCTGACTCCCAGGTGCCCCAATGGATCAACCCTGCTGCCGAGCCCTGTACGACTTTGAGCCTGAAAATGAAGGGGAGTTGGGTTTTAAAGAGGGTGATATCATCACACTCACTAACCAAATTGATGAGAACTGGTACGAGGGGATGCTTCATGGCCAATCAGGCTTCTTCCCCATCAATTATGTGGAAATTCTGGTTGCTCTACCCCATTAGGATGTTTTGCTGGCTGGCTCACCTCCTCTTGACCCGGATAGTTAAGTTTAACCACTGCTTTGGTAATGCTGCTTACAACACATCCCAAGTGCAGGCCGCAGTGGTCCAAGTCATCAAGCCCCACCGAGTATCTTTGGTTGACTTGTGTGATCCCACAGAGTCATGGTGATGGGTGGTATCTTCTTAGTCTGGTGGGCATGGCATGTGCTTTTTAAATACCATCTGAGACCAGCCAGTAGTGCTGTTTACACAGTTCTCAGGAGACTGTGGGTTTTTAGACTATGACCATGAGCCACGTCACAGATAAAACATTCTACTGAAGATATTATCTATCACCCAGGGGCCATGTCAAGGTCTCAGGTTCTCCATTTAAATAGGAGAAAGGTCTTGCTTTCACACCGTCCCCTCCCAAGTATGTGAGTCACAGAATTGTGAAGAAAGTCTCCCTCACCAGCAAATTGTCTTCTGGTCTGAATGAGTTAGTCCCTTGATGCTATCAGTAGAAAAGTGTTGAGTGTGGGTGCAAAGCCTTCTCTGAAAACAGTCACTGTTGTGCCCCCCACTTCTGCCTATTTCTGAGGCACAGTTTTCTTCCCTCCCAGCTATTAAAGTCACAGGGGGAACACTCATTTTGTTTCTCAGTAAGAGAGTCAGCAATCAGCATATTGTAGGAAGTGCTGAAAAGAGGAGAGTTTCCATTATGAGGAATTGGGAAGAAATCTGCTTTCCAAGCTTACATTTCTTGCTGTACAGAAACATGTATTTAGGCCTTTTCCGAAGGTTACAGGGAAGGGGGAACAAATATCTTCACTTCAGTTTTGCTTGTGAATTACATGTTTCATGACTCCATTTGCCACAGAAACACAGGAGAAAGACACTAGAAACCATTTCCTCACTAGTCCATAGACCAAGAAACAGTAAATCTTTCCTTTCTATGTTCACCTTGTGTTCTTTGAACATCATTTGTGCATATTCTGCCCTCAATGAGGACCAAAAAAAGATGAATTTTGTGCTTAGCAGTTTAAGATGTGTGGCTGCATATGCAAAACTTTCCCAATTCAGTCATTTTTTAAGAATTTCCATTCCTTCTATCTCATCTTCATTTTTTGTGTACAGTGCTGTGAGTAAGCTTATGAGTATTTCTTTCTTTTGGTATCAGTCATTAAAGTCCTGTTAGGTATCCAGAGTTCTATTTATCTAGCTGTACAGATTCTTTTAGAGGTTTAATGTGCTGCTTCGGATGTGCCACCTGCGATAGTGGATCATGTGGAGTGAAAGGCAAATCTTACTGCTTAATATATAAACTCTTACACGGGAAGCATTGCTGTTTCCAATAAATATTGCTGAAGACAGAATTAAAGACTCTGGTCCTTATTTTGTGTCGGTTCTTTGAGTCTGACTGTGGGTGTATTGGGGTTTGATTTAGTTTCTGTCTAGTACATCAGAACCAGATATGGTTCCAAGCTCAGATCTACTCTGTAAGAAGGAAATATCTGTTACCAAGAAGCCAGCTAGCCTCAACACTGGAAACAGCTTGGTAACCACAGAAAAGAGATTTAGGACAGCACATCAGAAAGTGGAGAGAAGAGGTCTTCAAGACATTAAGAGAAATCATCGATGCCAGTATCATTTGGAAGAATATAATGTTCAGAGTGGCAAATAAAATACATCATTCCAACCAGTTTCTTGTTGTCATTAATACTTGCAAAAAATATATAGATTTGGAAATAGATTGTCCAAAAGCCATCATTCATTGCTCTTGATAAGTATGTGTGGGCTGGGGACGAGTGAGTGGAAATAGGGGAGCAGGGCACACAAAATGTGTATTTTCTGAACCCCTGAGAAAACAAGTATGTTCTTTAAATACTTGGTTCTCTTTTGATATATCCTTCCATGCTAAAGCCAGTGATCCAAATGTTCTCATCTAACATATACTTCCCTTCTAATATACTGATTTTTATAGTGAAGCACTCTAACATGAAAATAATTTTGCTTGCTACATGAATTAGAATATTATATATCAATTCTTAAAATCAATTTTGAAAAGAATAATGATATCATGAATGGACAAAATCCAGAAAAAATAACACATGATGTCTTTAGTCAATAAGTGAATTTATAGTGACGATATAAAATCAATATTCAAAAATTATTTTACTTCTACTTATCAGTAACAATGTATAAGGCAATGTTGCTTCAATTAGAACATAATATAAAAAGGATTAAAACATATTTACAAAGGGATCAAAAAATCAAACCCATAGATAAAAAAAATCTTAAGAATTATAAAAGATTTTTAATTAGAAAATTTTAAAGCATGCTTGAGAAGAAATAAAGACCTTAGTAAATAAAAAAATAATTTTCCTGAAGATGATTATTTTCCCCTAGCTTCTCTTTGATTAAGTAGACAATTAAAATGACATAGGCAAGAATTGACATTTCCCTGCCTGTGTCTAATAAGTAGCCTATATTCTAGAACATGCCAAGTCCTTTTCTGCAGAGGCTTAGTAATGCCTTGGGAAATCAGGATTATCCTGAGGATTATCAGGCTCTATTTTTAAGACAACCTGTATTCTGGATGGGACTGTGAGGGCACTTTTAAGCTTACATTCCTAAAACCATCTATTAACTAGATTAAAAACTATGCAGACTGAGTTTCATTCCCTGGGGATGTTGCTGGTGACTTGATGCTGAAGGCAGAGGAAGACTGAAGCCTCCTTTTGGAACCCTCTCTGATGTTTAATGAAGACTTCCTGGGCTGCATGGAAGGGTAGCCACACCAGCAATATCTATGCCCACCGATTAGGGACCTGTTATCAAGCCCATATTAAAAGAGCTATCAAGGGAAAGAACAAAACCAGTGAATACTAATCACTTAAAAGGCGGGCCACTGAATGTCACTCAGCTATCATGCATGCATGCCTGCCTAGGCGGTGGCACTCTTCACTTGTGGCAGGAAAAGCTGTAATTCATAACAGAATTGGAGCAGGTTGTCTGTTTTAGAGGCATAAGAGTGGAGAACAGCATCTCAGTACCATTTTTTTCAAAGAGAAACCCCAAACCCCCTTGTGTACCACCCTATAGATTAGTTGCTACTAGTCACCCACAAATAGCAAGACTAAGATTTTGGGAAGTTCCTTCAGGTGAGAAATAACAAAGGGGTCCACATTAGTGAGGGAAAGAATAAAATTTTAATATCAAAAATTTTTTAAAAAGGTTTTATTTATTTATACAAGCACTGGGTACAGTCAGAAGCGTGGGAGGGTGAGAGAATTCACCAGAGCCAGAGCAGGGAGCAGGACAGGCAGACGATGAAATACACTGCTGAGGGGAGCAGCGGGCGCGGCAGGAGAGGTCCGTCGCACCATGTGGGACTCTCTCCGGAGACGGGAGATCAAACTGGCGCTGCAGAGGCTGCAGGCAGCTTCGCAGCCCAGTGCTCAACCGCTGCATCACCAGGGGAGGCCTAATATCAGAAATTTTTGAAGATATTTGGAGAGCTCTCTGTAATCTGGTTCTTTTTTCCCTTTCTGTGTATCATCTGAAAAAAAAAATTGCAGGATTCACTTAGTTTTCATTTCTTTATATTCAAAAGATGCAAAAGATAGATTTTACCTGGCAGAGTCTATCTTGATTACAGGCTTTTTATGGTCTTTAAGCAATAAAAATAGGTGTTTACAGCTGTGTTTCAATTTCCTATATCATTCTTTTCACACCAGGGAATCAAGACACATTGAACAGTTTTATAAGATGATGATTATAATTTATCAAGGTAAAATTGGGAACCAGAATTATTTATTGCCCTACATCAAGCACTTTTTAAAGCTCAATTTATGTGCTTTTTATTGAAGAGTAGCATATTAAACCTTAAACATTCAACTCTTTGGGGTTGATACAATGGAAGAAAAAGAGCATTGTAAGTGGGTTAATTATTTACCCAGTATAGTGGTATTTGGAGCTTAATAATGAAAAGGGGAATTTACCAACATGAAGTATCTTAACAAGACAAAGAAATAGCCTGTTGGATTGTGAAATAAAAGTACTAAAATGTCTTAGACTCACTTCATAAAATTTCAAAAGGTAAAAGTAACAGAAGTTATAAAAGCATTATTTTTCACACTTTTCCTCCTAGTATTTTGGTTTCCTTAAAATTGTTTCATGTAATTAGTAAGAGAAACATCACATGCCTTTATTTTTTTTAATTTTATTTTGTATATTTTACATCATTTTTTCATTTTTGTACAATATATGCACTTTCATCTTGGTTATAGTCCCCATACAATTCCCCCACCCTCTTATTTTGACCCTAATCCCTCCTACCTTTCCCCTCCCCATAATGTATCTCTGGCTTGTAGTTGCTTATTGATTTTAATTTTTTACTTTATTATAATTAGTCTTTTTCCTAGTCCCTTACAATGGAATATTATTCAGCAATCAAAAAAGATAAACTCATGCAATTTGCAGCAACATGGATGGAGCTGGAAGGGATCATGCTCAGCAAAATAAGCCAGAAAGAAAAAGAAAAATACCAGATGATCTCACTCATAGCAGGAATTTAGAAGACATCCCTTTATTTGTTAAAGCCAAGTTCAGTATGGTTACTGCCCTTAACTCCCATCTGAATTGGCGGGGAGGGGTGTCTGGTTTTTTGTCCTGATGATGTCACCTCCACATGTTTTCTTGCCCAAGAGCTTGTAGTCCACTAGAAAGTACAGCACCAGCCCTCTGTGCCTGAACTTAGTTGTGGATCTTTTCTGAAGATCCCAGCTATAGCAGCAGTATCCCTAAGCACAGAGTCCTCTTCAATGAAAAGTTAACTCTTCTTTTAAGTCACTGCAGGAAAACAAGACTAATTATTTATTACTCTACCAGCAATCCCAGACAGAGTGATTGACTAGAGAATCTGTGTTTTTAAAAAGCTCTACCAGTAATTCTTATCAGAAATCAGGGAGGCCCATAGGATCTTCTAAACTACCCGATGATCAGCATTACAGTGATACTTGCACAAATTGGACTTTTGGTTCTTGTTCCAGCTTCTCACGTTCATTTTTTCACAGAGGGGCTTAGGGATTTGCATTTCACATCAGGAAGGTTTAGGAAATAATCCACCATACTTCAAAACCTCAAACCTGCATCAAAATTACTTGAAAATTTTTACTTTTTGCTTTTCTTTTTTATTAAAGAGTTGTCTACAAGTCCTGAAACCATTAAAATCCTAGAAGGAAACACATTAAGCTCCTTGATATTAATCTTAGCTTTTTTTCTTTCTGATTCCAAAGGAAGCACAGCAAAAGTGAATATAAGCAAATGGGACTATATCAAACTAAAAGGTTTTTACACAGCCAAGGAAACCATCAGTAAAACCGAAAGACAGTTTACTGAGAGAAGATATATACAAATCTGTTGAAGAACTTATACAACTTGATAACAAAAAACAAGGAATTCAAGTGAAAAATATTGGATCTCAATAGACTTTTTTTTTTGCAAAGAAGACTTACAGATGGCTAACAGACACATTTAAGATGCTCAATATCACTGGTCAGAAAAATGCAAATAAAAATCACAATGACTCTCAATTCACATCTGTCAGAAAGGTAGTCATCAAAAAAGTAAGTATTAGTGAGGATGTGGATAAAGAGAACCCTAATGCACTGTTAGTGGGACTGTAGACTGGTGCAGCTCCTATGGAAATTAAATATAACTACCACTAATATAGCAGTTTCACTTCCGAGTATCTGAAGAAAATAAAAACATTCAAAAATACCTATGCACCTGGAGCTTTTTAAAACAGACGCCTGGGCCCCACATCCATACATTCTGATATAGTAGGCCTGGAATGAAGTCTGATATTTGCATTTCTAATAAATTCAATAATACATTTCCCAGTGAACCACATTTGGAGTAGATAAACAACTTAGGGAAAACAGCTTTCTGATATATAGACCCTGCATTTGGTTTTGAGAACAATGCCAAAACACAAATGCATTCATCAGTTATTTCCCCCAAGTAAATTGTAATTATTGCACACCTGCTGAGTAGAACTGTCTGTGGAGAATGATGACTTGGGGAAATCCAGATAGATGTGTATATATATATTTTTTTACAGACCTGAGAAGTACCAGTTCTGCCATGGTGGCTGCCCTGGATAGCCTGGCTCCCTGTTTTTAGCCATCTATCAAGCAATTCTGAGATTCAGGCAAGTTTAGGAAGTACTTATCCATATAATGATGTTTTAAGTAGTCAGCTCTTTGCCTGTATTATTTTCTATTTTGCTTTGATTTTTAAAGACATTCACATTGATTGATTTTTTTAATATTGGAAAAGCATTTCATTTCATTGTAGGCACTTGCACAGT